GTTTCAATGAGCCTAGAACCCAGTTCCTTCAAAAAACTGGTAGCACTTTTACCCCAGGCGCCGAGTGTCTCAGAAGCAATGGGGACAAAATTGTAGAGGTGATCCAGTTCTCTATACTTACGGGATTTGGCTGCTTCCCTGTGGGTGGCAGCGCCACCTGGTTGTGCAACACTGAAGTTAATGTAGGTGTTAGCCAGGGTTGAATATATATATATATATATATATATATATATATATATATATATATATATATATATATATATATATATATATATATATATTACTGAAAACTCACACCCCAGAAGTGACTCGAACCCATACTGCCAGGAGCACTCTGCTGGCGTACAGGACACCTTAACCGCTCGACCAACACGATCGGACAAAAGAGGATGGTAGCCGAGGCTATTTCCAATCCCCGCCGGCACTCGGTTGGTAATCTTGGGCATGGTATTTTATCAAATCACCTCATTCTTTGGGGCACATGTGAGGAACACATTTTTGTATTCCTCACGCCAATTCGCTCACTGAAGCCTCCTTACTATCTTTTTTTTTTACGGTGAATAGGTTAGTATATTACCTTCAACCAACTTCAAGATCAAGACAGAATATATAGCGTACTGAAGTAGCCATGATGAGAGCATAGGACCCCCACAACCACCAACACCGCTACCATTATCACGACACCAACCACCATATCACCACCACACCACCACCACCACCAACACCACCACACCACCATCAACACCACCATCAACACCACCATCAACACCACCACCACACCACTACCACCCCACCACCACACCACCTCTCCACCACCACCCCACCACCCCACCACCACACCACCACACCACCACACCACCACCACACCACTACCACCCCACCACCACACCACCTCTCCACCACCACCCCACCACCCCACCACCACACCACCTCTCCACCACCACCACAACCACCACCACCACCACACCACCACACCACCTCTCCACCACCACCACCACCACCACCACACCACTACCACCCCACCACCACACCACCTCTCCACCACCACCCCACCACCCCACCACCACACCACCTCTCCACCACCACCACAACCACCACCACCACCACACCACTACCACCCCACCACCACACCACCACACCACCACAACCACCACCACCCCACCACCACACCACCACAACCACCACCACAACCACCACCACCACCACCACCACCACCACACCACCACACCACCTCTCCACCACCACCACCACCACCACAACCACCACCACCACCACACCACCACACCACCTCTCCACCACCACCACCACATTACACAAGCACACTGGCCAACACCTAGGTTTTTAATCCGCATAAATCCATTGAAGCTTGCACATATGGAGAAATATTCGAGTGGATAACCAGATTATCCGCTCACCACGTAATTAACTTAACCAGATATTGCTTTCCTTTTTTCACAACGACGAAGAGGCTTACTTTTATGTACTAATATGGTCAGTCGAGGCATTAATTCACAAATTGGTGATAGTAATTTCCCATGCGATGAAATCTGTTTTAATCTCCGGCTTGATAATAGGGCTGGCTGACATATTTTGTTTGAGAATTACAAATCATTGACAATTAGTCATGTTGTTATTCGTATTACTATATATTTGTTTTTGTATTTGGCTGAGGAAACACTACTTGCTAAAGTAATTAGAAATTAAAATTAAATTAGCATGTAATTAAAATTAGAAATTAGAATGTAATTAGAACTAGAAATTAGAATGTAATTAGAACTAGAAATTAGAATGTAATTAGAACTAGAAATTAGAATGTAATTAGAACTTGAAATTAGAATGTAATTAGAATTAGAATGCAATTAGAATGTAAATAGAATTAAAATACTTATATTAGAATGTGTGTGTGCAGAGACGAGGCTTCAGCCTGGTAGCCCCAGTAGTTGTGTTGGTCTCATGACGCCACCACTCTGCTGTTTCACATGTGGCTGCACATGTGTGGTGACGCCACACATGTGAGGCTAGCCACGTGTACTGTGCCTGGCTCCTCCCGCTTGTAACTCCCTCGCTACAGTCTTCCTCGTATAGATAATGAGGCCCAATAACGGGGCTGAACATGTACATAACCAGACACGTCCGAAAATTCAGGAATTGACGTTTCGGTCCATCTTGGACCGTTGTCAGGTCGTGTATGCTTCCTTAGATTGTGGTTTTTTTTTTTTTTTTTTTTTTTTTTTTTTTTTTTTTTTTTTTTTTTTTTTTTTTTTTTTTTGCCTTTTCTGTGTAAATAGTTGACATCTTCCGTGTCTGCGCTACGGCAACTCTTCCCCAGACAATGTGTGTGTTTGTGTTGTTAAGTAGCATAAGAATTAAGGAAATTGCAGAAGGACTGTTGGCCCGTACAAGAAAGAGGCTCCTGTTAATATCCACACGAGGATATTTTATATAATTATAATATATAAAATTTATATATTTTATATAATTATATAACATAATGCAGGCGATGAGTCACAATAACGTGGCTGAAGTATGTTGTCCAGACCACACACTAGAAGGTGAAGGGACGACGACGTTTCGGTCCGTCGACTTGAGAATGGTCCAGGACGGATCGAAACTTCGTCTTCGCCACATCTTCTGAGGTGGGGTTTGGTCATTATATCTTCTGGCCACGTTATCGTGGCTCATCGTCTGCATCGGTAATCTGTTTCACAAACCAGTATTTACCCAGGTCTTTTTTTTAATCTAAACTTTTCAATTTTATATCCAGTGTTTCGTGTTCTGTATTGTTTGTTTTTAATATATATATATATATATATATATATATATATATATATATATATATATATATATATATATATATATAATATATATATATATATATATATATTAGTGTATTTTGGTAGCAGTCTTTCCTGTAGACATATATTATTAAATATGACCGAAAAAGTAAGATTAATAATTCTACTTAATTATTAATCTACTTTTAAGATTAATAAGAATTATTAATCTTACTTTTTCGGTCATATTTAATAATATATATATATATATATATATATATATATATATATATATATATATATGTATATATAATTACTTTAAACAGCCGGCGGCTAGAAAGGCGGGATCCGAGATCCCGCCTTTACTCCAAGCACCTGGACTAGTCGGTAGAGCGTCGGCCTTGCTTCCAGCAGTGTCGGAGCTCGATTTCCGCTGGTCCAAGAGGTTGGACACAATTCCTTTGAAATGCATATGTAGTCGACATAATAAAAGGGGGGAAAAGGCAGGGCTCCAAGAGCTATAACAGCTCGATTCTGCAGGCACACGCGTAGTGAACATGTCTAGTGAACACGTGTAGTGAACACGTCTAGTGAACACGTGTAGTGAACACGTCTAGTGAACACGTGTAGTGAACACGTATAGTGAACACGTGTACACCGACCGACTCCACCACCTGCTGCCAATAAAGCTTCCCCCTGATTCCTGTATCTGATTGTACCTGGATTCTGCAATTATCACGATGCCCCCAATTATTTTGTTTGCTTTTATTTTTTTTATTATTTTTTTACTCGCTGACTGTTGGGGTGGGTGGTGTATATTTACACTCTACGGGTACACATTTGTTCCTCTCTGTACGGCACCATATTTGTTGTATAATCCTAGCAGGCTGGGGGGGGGCCGTGATATCCTAGCAGGCTGAGGGGGGCTTGATATCCTAGCAGGCTGGGGGGGCTTGATATCCTAGCAGGGTGGGGGGGGCGTGATATCATCCTAGCAGGCTGGGGGGCGTGATATCATCCTAGCAGGGTGGGGGGGGCGTGATATCATCCTAGCAGGCTGGGGGGGCGTGATATCATCCTAGCAGACTGGGGGGGGCGTGATATCATCCTAGCAGGGAGTTACAAACACTAACCACTCCCGAAACTATTATAAGTTGTGTCAGCTGTTTAGTATTTACAAATGTGCCTTCAACACACACACACTCGTGTGTTATCGTATAACCTATTGAAACATTTTGTTATATATTGTTCATTGGATGTTCTGTGATTTTGAGAGTGCACTGCTCCTGTGACCTGTGGTGCTGTAGGCCTATGTTCAGGCCTAATAATGCATTATTAGTTGTATCGTTTAGCTTATTTTTTAATGATTTGTTTAATAATGAATTAATGTTTAATTCAACCATGTTCTGTGTGTGTAAGTTCGTAAAGCTTTCCATTTATGTTTTTATTAGTGGCTGTGAGGAGGGGGGGAGTTGAGCCAACCCATTTGTCCCTGTTAATGAGTATAAATATAATTAACTTCACAGTAACAGACCCTCTACCCTCTTCTGCAAATTAGAGGTATTATAAAAAAAACGTCATCGTGACAAGGTAACTGAGGAAAGGAGGATAGAAGCACAAATCGGTGAATCTGTACGATGGTACAACATCGATGCTACTGGCAATCCTAATCATTACGGACGAAGAGGAGGTGGCCGCGGGAGAGAATCAGTAATAGAGAGAATCCATCTTGAATACAAATAACCATGGAGATTCGGGATGGAAAAAACAGCTGAGCAGCGGAGCTGCAGAATCTGTGGTGAGAGTGACGGACACCGCCTTGACCACTACCTGAGTGAATGAGTGAATGTGATCACCTGAGAGACATTAGAAATATGTGTACAATAATAAACCCCACATTGTTTGAGTTAAGAAAACACTATTTGTCAATTATTGATACTGTTTTTAAAAGATTCCCCCATTTTGCACCCGCATGATAACGTAAGCTTTTAAAACGGTTGATATATGTTAATCCTCTTGTTTGAGAAGCTGTTCACTGGAGACAGTTAAACAAGTCCCAGCTGCGTCTGGGTACAATTGACAGGTGGAACAACCCACCGGGTTTTCTTCCTATTGGGGAGTGTTGTACATGTTGTTATGGCGGTGTGTCCACACACAGGATGAGTGGCGCTGCCCAATAAACTCGCCCCTCGGGGCAAAATTAAAATAAGAATACTGGTGTTGCAGGTAGAAGCTGTGGACCCCGACAAGGTGGACTCTGCCGGGCTGGTGTACAGTGTTGGAGGTGACGGAGTTGACGGTCACTCCCCCACCCGCGCCTTCTTCACTATCAACCCCCTCACCGGTCACCTCCTGCAGCTGAGGGTGAGTGTTGACCCCCCTCACCGGTCACCTCCTGCAGCTGAGGGTGAGTGTTGACCCCCTCACCGGTCACCTCCTGCAGCTGAGGGTGAGTGTTGACCCCCTCACCGGTCACCTCCTGCAGCTGAGGGTGAGTGTTGACCCCCCTCACCGGTCACCTCCTGCAGCTGAGGGTGAGTGTTGACCCCCCCCCCCCCTCGCCGGTCACCTCCTGCAGCTGAGGGTGAGTGTTGACCCCCCCTTGTGTTGACCCCCCTCACCGGTCACCTCCTGCAGCTGAGGGTGAGTGTTGACCCTCCCTCACCGGTCACCTCCTGCAGCTGAGGGTGAGTGTTGACCCTCCCTCACCGGTCACCTCCTGCAGCTGAGGGTGAGTGTTGACCCCCCTCACCGGTCACCTCCTGCAGCTGAGGGTGAGTGTTGACCCCCCTCACCGGTCACCTCCTGCAGCTGAGGGTGAGTGTTGACCTGCCCTCATAGTGACCACAGTCACTATGCACCTGTACATACATACGAGTAAATGCTTTAATGAACCCCCCCCACTCCCGCCAACCCCGGTTCCGTTTCTCAAGGAGTGGGAGGAAGTGTCGTAGAAACCGGCCCTTTGCGGCGACAGTCTAGCGGTGACTTATCTAAACCTTCTTAGGGCGTTTTCGATCATTACCCATAACTGTCGCCCGCCCGGTAAATAAAATCCATTTCCGGAAAAATAAAACGTCCTGAGAGAGAGAGAGAGAGAGAGAGAGAGAGAGAGAGAGAGAGAGAGAGAGAGAGAGAGAGAGAGAGAGAGAGAGAGAGAGAGAGAGAGAGAGAGAGTGAGAGAGAGAGAGAGTGAGAGAGAGAGAGAGTCTTCTTTTGCTGCAGGTAGAAAGCCTAGCAGGTTTTTAATTTTTGTTTATTTTTTTTATATAGCCTCATGGACCGAGAGGCCGCTCGGTTCTCGTTTCGAACTTCACACTGACAGGACCATGGCATCAGCTGTGGGAACAATATCAAGAGTTGCTTCTTAATGGCTGACAATGGTGTTATTCTTGTAAGATGAGTCCACTAAATCTTAGATCAACTCGTCTGTTGACATCATTAGTCGTCTCTACTCCCTTTTCTCAAGTCAAGAGCTGCCACATCTCTGAGTATGACGATAATAATTAAAATTATTAATTATTAATTCAAAATTACATCGTGGTAATTATAAAATTCGAGTAAAATATGTCGATAGATTTATATAATCGTTCTAAATTAAGTTTTGAATTAAGGTACTCTAAGCCAAGTGCAGCAGTGAAATAAGGTGCCCCCCTTTTCCAATTAAGTCTTGCTTTAAAGTACCCCCCATCCCAAGTAATGACTTTGGAAGCCAGTTTTTAGTCATAAACAGACGTGGCCTCATTCCCAAGGTAAAATATTAATTAAAGTTCTGCTTCTATAAATATACCCTAATTAAAGTGTTCTCTCTCTCTCTCTCTCTCTCTCTCTCTCTCTCTCTCTCTCTCTCTCTCTCTCTCTCTCTCTCTCTCTCTCTCTCTCTCTCTCTCTCTCTCCAAAGTATGTTTATCAAAGTTTACTTGTTATGAAGAGTAAATGTTTATGATTTCCCCGCTGCAAATCATTAACTAATCAAGGTGTCCTCCTCCAACTCATTCATGTCTTTAATCAAGAGAGTAAAAGTTGTCTCTCTCTCCAGTCTCATTAGCGTCTCTTTGATGTACACGTGATTAATGCCTCCTTCACTCCCTTCTCCTACATCTTGGCCCACGTGACGCCTTTCCGGGACTCGAACCGGAGAGAGAGAGAGAGTCATTGTCTGTTGCAGACACGGATGATGTGTGTGTGTGTGTGTCTTCCCTGTCACTGTTGCAGACACGGTGTGGGCGTGTCTCCCTGTCACTCAGTCAGCACAACTTTAAGGGAAAGACATGGACTTGGATGAACTTATGTCGCTTGTCGCGAGAACTGGAAGCTGGTGAAATTATAGCAATAATAATAATAATAACTATAATAATGTTGATATATATTGTGTATATTTGATATGTATAAATTTAAGCAGGTAAAAAATAGTTTAACAATAAATAAATCATATATAAAATAATAAAAAAGGTAGAGGGTGGTAGAAGAAAATATTAGATTGCTCAGTGAGAATCCACAAGATATTCTCTGAATACTCTTTATTCTCTTCTCCGAGGCTGTGGGTCCCTACAGTTGCACCAGAGGTGGTACCCCTAAATAATAATAATAATAATAATAATGCAAAAAACACTTGATATGTTTGATGACATAAAAGCCTTTGAAATATAATTGAACATTTTCAAAATGGTGTCGATAATGGCATCTTTAAATATTTCTCGAGCCTGAACAAAAGAACACATGACATCTTGAAATGCATAAGAAAACAGACATTTAGAGACATGTTTGTGTGTGTGTGTGTGTTTCCAAGCTCTTCCCTAGCAATGCAACGATGAGCGTTGTCTCCTCTGGTTTGAATGAGCCTCCAATGGCGCGAGCACTCAAAAATGTCGCCCCTACAAGAAGGTGTTAACTGTTGCTCCCGATAATCGGACGTCTACGATCGTGTGATTCCAAGTGGCTGTGCGCTTCGCATGTTCTAGTTAGTGCGATATAATGGCTATTCTTGGCTCTGTTATTCTTTGCTGGTTAATAATAATAATCATTTTCATATTCTTTCTTGTGCAAAATATCAATAATATTGTCAATTTGGTCATTTTTCTTGACCTAAATATAAAACAAAATAATGCCATACGGTTCAAATGGCATACAGTTCATATGGCATATGGATGATCCATACATATGGATACTACATATAGGTCATATGTATACTTTAGCAATTCACCAAGAGTTGGATATATGCTACATAATTTGCTCCTCCTGGGAGCAAATTCTATTCCCAGGTCACTGGAGTGTATTATTGTATACTTGAAAGCTTGGACAGGTTATAGTGTGTTTAGTACACAGGTTGCTATAGTGTGTTTAGTACACAGGTTGCTATAGTGTGTATAGTACACAGTAGGCTGCTATAGTGTGTGTAGTACACAGTAGGCTGCTATAGTGTGTGTAGTACACAGTAGGCTGCTATAGTGTGTGTAGTACACAGTAGGCTGCTATAGTGTGTGTAGTACACAGTAGGCTGCTATAGTGGGAGTGTGTAGTACACAGTAGGCTGCTATAGTGTGTGTAGTACACAGTAGGCTGCTATAGTGTGTGTAGTACACAGTAGGCTGCTATAGTGGGAGTGTGTAGTACACAGTAGGCTGCTATAGTGTGTGTAGTACACAGTAGGCTGCTATAGTGTGTATAGTACACAGTAGGCTGCTATAGTGGGAGTGTGTAGTACACAGTAGGCTGCTATAGTGGGAGTGTGTAGTACACAGTAGGCTGCTATAGTGTGTGTAGTACACAGTAGGCTGCTATAGTGGGAGTGTGTAGTACACAGTAGGCTGCTATAGTGGGAGTGTGGAGTACACAGTAGGCTGCTATAGTGTGTGTAGTACACAGTAGGCGGCTATAGTGTGTGTAGTACACAGTAGGCTGCTATAGTGTGATGTAGTACACAGGTTGCTATAGTGTGATGTAGTACACGTGAGAGTACAATGTGGTGTTGTATGGTTGCAGGCGCTGGACCGGGACCCGCCGCTGGGGAGAGAGAGTACACAGTAGGCGGCTATAGTGTGATGTAGTACACAGGTTGCTATAGTGTTATGTAGTACACGTGAGAGTACAATGTGGTGTTGTATGGTTGCAGGCGCTGGACCGGGACCCGCCGCTGGGGAGAGAGAGGTGGCAGGTGAAGGTACAGGTGCGGGACGGACAGCGGGTGTCGCCCTCGCTGGCCGCTGCCTCCCGGGCCTCCAGGCGCCCCCCCACGCTCTCACACCCTCAACACCTCCACTCCCACCAACCCCAAGTGCCACCACAGGCCCACGCTCTCACCACACGCAACCTGGGAGTGCCACCACAGGCCCACGCTCTCACCACACGCAACCTGGGAGTGCCACCACAGGCCCACGCTCTCACCACACGCAACCTGGGAGTGCCACCACAGGCCCACGCTCTCACCACACGCAACCTGGGAGTGCCACCACAGGCCCACGCTCTCACCACACGCACCCTGGGAGTGCCACCACAGGCCCAGGCTGTCTGGACACTGGACCTTGATACATCACAAGAGGGTCGGCGTGTCACGCCACAGGACCCTGAGGTGCCATCAGATGAGCAATTTTTCTCACCACGCGACCCAGACGTGGCACCAAAGAGCCAATTTGTCATGTCTTATGACCCCAATATGCCACCAGAGGCCAGATCTGTCTCCTCACTAGACCCTGAGGTGCCCCCAGAACGCCTGTCTGACATATCACGCGAACTTCATGTACCACTAGAGGACCAGGTCCCCATGCCACACAACCCTCAAGGATCACTCGAGTCTCGCTACATGGTAAAAGACGAACCTAGTGTGCCAGTGCAGATTCGGTACTTCACTTCTCAAACTCGAAGAGCGGGGATCAGAAGAGCACAAGGTGATGCCGAGCCGCACAAGGACAAAGAAAATGTAGGAAGCAGGCGAAGACAAAATAAACGTCAGAGTCCAAAAATTGAAGAGAAAAATAAACAAGATCCAGAAGCCTTGGTGATACACCTGAGAACTAAACGAGTTGGGATCAACGAAGCCATCAATAACACGCAGGAGAAATCTGAAGACGAAACCCTAATTGCAGGGAAATTCTCACGGGGAAAGAGCGAGTTCGCAGAGAGGAGAACGGGGGAAGGGGGAAACAGAAGAAAGCTTCGGGACAAGGTACACCGTAATGATAAAGAGGGAATTTTGGCGGATAAACGAACGAGCGAAATAGCAAAGAGGAGGCTGGAGGCACCAGAAACATCATTAGAGACACACTATGGGGCTAAGGACAGTGATCTTAGAGCTCAACAAACGCCTGCCACAGGAAGGTGGAGCGATGGGCAGAACGCCCTGGCTGACAGCGCTCGTAGCGGCGAACACTCCACAGCAAGTTCAAAGGCTCCCGGCCCACCAGTAAGACCCCGGCTCAAGCTAAGGTCCATCCCACGAAGGAAATATCAGCTCAGTGGTGGCGTCCCGCGCAAACGTCTGGCTGTCAGAGGCGTGTTTAAATTGAAAGCTCCGAGACTCAGATTAAGGGGAAGAGCTAACGTGGGTAGAGGCCAGTTATCTCTAGGTATCATACCGGAGCCCATCCCCCATACTAACAGCACTCCGTCTTTAAAGACAAAGCCTCGGGAAGTCACCAGGAGTCGATACAAGAGATCAACAACCCGCGGAGAGACTAGCCGTACAGAAGAACCTGTGCAACACGAGCGTGATAATCCCCCGTCTGCATCAAGGCCCACAAGCACGACCCATTCAGGAGCCGACTTATTGAAGGTTTCGGGAAGCCTTTTGGGCATCGAGGAGGAGGCAGACATACCGACACCCCTTATCAAAAAACGTGCGGCACGTACCCAGGCAATAGATGAGCGACTCTACGTGAAGAGGTTTGGGGCAAAGGGTGGAGGGTGCGGGGACTATGGCGTCTTCTCCATGACTCCGGAGGCGGAGCCATGGTACCTGCAGGATATGAGGCGGGAGCAGGTGCACGTGGCGGAGACGGTGGTGACGGTGGTGGTGAAGGACATCAACGACAACGCTCCCGTCTTCCCCAACGCCACCATCTACGGCGAGGTGCAGGAGAACGGCCCCATCGGTGAGTACTTCAGCCCTTAGTACGTTCATGTGTGGTTCACAGGTGTAGGAGAACGGCCCCATCGGTGAGTACTTCAGCCCTGGTGTGTACTTTCATGTGTGGTTCACAGGTGCTGTGAACGAACCCATCGGTGAGTACTTTGTTCCTGGTGTGTACGTTCATGTGTGATTCACAGGTGTAGGAGAACGGCCCCATCGGTGAGTACTTCAGCCCTGGTGTGTACTTTCATGTGTGGTTCACAGGTGTAGGAGAACGGCCCCATCGGTGAGTACTTCAGCCCTGGTGTGTACTTTCATGTGTGGTTCACAGGTGCTGTGAACGAACCCATCGGTGAGTACTTTGTTCCTGGTGTGTACGTTCATGTGTGGTTCACAGGTGCAGGAGAACGGCCCCATCAGTGAGTAGTAGTTTTCTCCTGTTCTGAATGTTCAGGAAATATGTTCATAGGTGCTGAAGGTAGCCCCATCAATGAGTCTTATCATTCATGGCTTGAATCTCTTGAGTAATGTTCATTCGAGCACGTAGTACACAGATCAAACAAACACTGCTCCAGCGGCTAGAGCTACCTCACTAGTCCTTTGTTCTCCCCTTTAGAAAAAAGGAGAATCTGTTTACTTGTTGGAGAGAGAAAAACCGGAAATATAAACCAGGAGGGAATAAGTAAGGTAATTTATCAGGGGACAGCGCTAAACCATTATGACTATATAGCACTCGGAAGAGACATGAGCGTAAGGGCTTAGGATAGAACAGATTGAGGAATGGTGACCAACTACTTGGACGGTCGGGGATTGAACCTGCAAGAAGAGAGATCGTCGCTCTACCATCCAGTCCAAGTGGTTAGATTAGGTTAGGTCCTGGACCCTTATCACTACCTCCCTCTAACGACTTAAGAGTACCTAACAGACAGAAGTCAAGGACAAATAGAGAGGGTGAGAAATAGAACCGGCGTAGAGAAACAAGTGGAGTACTTCAGGGATCGGTACTGGGACCCATGCTATTTCTCATTTATGTTAATGACAACCACTGGATTGGAATCCAATATGTCGATGTTTGTGGATGATGCAAACTTAAAGAGAATTGTTGAAACAGATGAAGACTGTAAGATACTCCACAATGACTTAGACAAGCTGCAGAGTTGGTCCGAGAGATAGCCACTGGAGTTCAACACAAGTATGTGTAAGGTGATGTAAATGGAAATAGGTGCCAAGAGACCAGAAGGACGGTACATAATGAAGGGAAACGACCTTCCTCTAACAACTAGAGAAAAAGACCTGGAAGTGGATGTAACACCAATCTAATTCAGTATGCACATATAATTGGGATAATATTGGCATACTCTATAATAACAAAAGTCAGAACATTATTCAGGAACCTGAATATAGAGGCATATATATAATGCACTAACTTGCCTAAACCACAAGTTTGAAGTTAACAACTTTAGATACACACCCACCTGGAGACTTGAACCCTCGCCAGCACAGATGACTTCACAGCACATCACAGCACAGATGATTCTGTGGCCCGGGTTAGATTATGTGGGTGTGAAGGTGATGTGAGAGAAGTACTAAGCTAAAAATAACACATCACCTGATATTATAATGTTTGCAACTGTTGATAAAGTAATCCTGGAGGAGGGTTGGTTTGTTAACGATACTCTTGAGTAATGGACAAAGCCGTTAAAGAAGTAGACTGACTATAATACGGGATTTTAAACAAATATCGATAAAGTGACAATTTTACGACCCATGAGTATTGAAGAGAATCGTATATCGAGAGTCGAAAGAATATCTCTTCAATATTGAGTATTGAAGAGACCTGTTCTCCTCACCTGAGGAGAACAGGTCCCAGAGATGGTGAGGAGAGCAGGTCCCACAGATAGTGAGGCGTCAACCCCCACCCCACACACAACCCCGCAAGCACCCACAGTGAGAGACGCAGATGAACCGGCAACATACGACTTATTGCTCTCCAGATGGAAGGAAGATATATTTAGTATTGCGGAGCTCCTATTAGCAAGAGCGAGCTTGTGCTTCTGGATATTAAAATTTGCTCTATGTTATGATGTCGCTGATGGGAGCCCCCAAGAGCTCAGGAGAGGAAAATATGAGGAGTTGAAGACGCTCTTCAAGATTATCACCAGAGAAGTGCGAGGGAATGAATGGTAATGGGAAGTATATGTCCTGTGACCTTCACCCAGGGAGTAAGAACCTATATTCTGGAGAAAGGAGTTCACAAACCCGTTAGGTTCACGAAGGTGAGTTGGAGAGGGAAGGAAGAGAAAGAGAAGGCTAGGCATAGATGCGATAAAGAAACAGACAAGTCAGAACTATCGGAAATAAAAGAGAGCAAGAAATAATTAATCTGGGAAAAGGGAGCGGAATGCGAGAGCTAATGTGAAGGGAAAATGTAGACAACGAATTAATCTGTCACATTGTATTGTAATTTGTGTGGAAGCTTAGTTATAAATGTACAAATATTTATAATTAAAGTTTGCGACATTAGTGGGAGTGACTTGCAAACAAAGGACAAACTCCAAAGACCGATATATAGTAATGCACTAGTTAAGACTAAACCTGAGATGTGTGAGCTTTTAAATAAGATGTTTTGGAGTGTCTTCAGATATGAAAGTACGTTCAGGGGGCCCCAGATCATCAGCCTTGGGCCTAGATACAATGGATACAACAGCCCTTACAAGGTAAGATATAAAAATGTTTTTTGAAGACTTAACCAAAGAAAATATCTGGTATGGATGGGATTTCTCCTTGGGTGTTAAAAAGAGTGTTAGGGAATCTCTCTCTCACTCTCTCTCTCTCTCTCTCTCTCTCTCTCTCTCTCTCTCTCTCTCTCTCTCTCTCTCTCTCTCTCTCTCTCGCTCTCTCGCTCTCTCTCTCTCTCTCTCTCTCTCCTCTCTCTCGCTCTCTCTCTCCCCTCGCTCTCTCTCCCCCTCGCTCTCTCTCTCTCCCCTCGCTCTCTCTCCCCTCGCTCTCTCTCTCCCCTCGCTCTCTCTCTCTCCCCTCGCTCTCTCTCTCTCTCCCCTCTCTCTCTCTCTCTCTCTCTCTCTCTCTCTCTCTCTCTCTCTCTCTCTCTCTCTCTCTCTCTCTCTCTCTCTCTTCTCCCCCTCCCCCCCCCCCAGAGCAGATGAAGATGCAGTCCATCTCATGACTGCTATCGTAAGTGGTAAGTATAATACACCCAGCTGCTCTTCCTTAAAGCCGACACTGAAGGGAAAAATTTGCCGCCGTTGTCAGGAATACACAAGAGGCCGAGTCGTCTTACCCCAGCCCGTCCTCCTAAGGTTTCCGAATGTCAGTTTGTTGTCTTAGATTCAGCTACCCGGAACAAAAAATTCCAAGTAGCACGGGCTATGGCGAGCCCGTAGTGGACGTACCTGGCACAGGAGCGGGGTTGTATGTCCCTACGTCAGGAAAACGGTCGTATTAAAATGTCGTCTCCTAACCAACCAGAGGACCCAAAGTAGAATAGGAGACAGTACGTCACTTTCGCCAGCCGCTTCCATTTTCTAATGCGACAATTTTTTGGTCTTATGTCACGCGTACGAGCGGAAAGCAGCGTTCTTTGTGGGAGGACAGGTTGGTTACCGCGGCTCCTCCGACCCCTTGACTCCGTGAACCTTGGTCACCAGCAGTGACCAGCAGTCATCGGGTCTTTCCACCAGGTGTCCCGGCTCCTTCTCCACCTCTCCTGCCCCTCATCCCACTCACTCTCACTCTCACACTCTCACTCTCTCACTCTCTCACTCTCTCACTCTCTCACTCTCTCACTCTCTCACTCTCTCACTCTCTCACTCTCTCACTCTCTCTCTCTCTCTCTCTCTCTCTCTCTCTCTATATCACTCTCTCTCTCTCTCTCTCTCTCTCTCTCTCTCTCTCTCTCTCTCTCTCTCTCTCACTCTCTCTCTCTCTCACTCTCTCTCTCTCTCACTCTCTCTCTCACTCTCTCACTCTCTCTCTCACTCTCTCTCTCTCACTCTCTCTCTCACTCTCACTCTCTCTCTCACTCTCTCTCTCTCTCTCTCTCTCTCTCTCTCTCTCTCTCTCTCTCTCTCTCTCTCTCTCTCTCTCTCTCTCTCTCTCTCTCTCTCTCTCTCTCTTTTGTTTCGAGCGTGTTGTTTCTCACCAACAGCTGTGTGTGTGTGTGCTGTATAAAATTTACCTTTTTGTAACACGCGTTTCTTTTCCTTCCCTTACCCTCCCACCCCTCCCTATTACCCATCCATCCACCCTCCTTCCCTACATCCCTAATCCCTTTCTTTCTCAGCCTCTTAGATTTATCCGCCTGACTGGTGCTCTATTCGAACTCTCCCTCCCTCATTCCCTCCCTTTTTGTCTCTCCCCCTCCCTCCCCATCACCCCTCCCCTCTTCCCTCCCACACCCTCTTCCTTCCCCGCGTCACGGCGCTGCTATTCGTAAACGCCTCGATCTTTCCCCCACAATCTCCACTCTATATTCAGACCAGCATATAACTCTTGGTTAACTTGAGTATTCAGCTTCCTCCCAGCGTGAGCCTCCTGAACTTGACCTCGGCCACACAGCAGGAGGAGAGCTTCTTTTCGATGACGTAGAAATTAACCTTTTCACTACTACAGACACCCCGGCCACCCCCTCCAGTGGATTACCCAATATGGTACTCCATACCCCCTTTGCCAGATTGTACCTTTTATGGTCCTGAGGGTACCAGGTGTGGTCCCAGGGTACCTGTCATGGTCCTGGGGTACCTATTATGGTCCCGGGGTACCTATTATGGTCCTGGGGTACCTGTTATGGTCCCGGGGTACCAGGTGTTGTCCCGGGGTACCAAGTGTGGTCCCGGGGTACCAGGTATGGTCCGTAGGACGCATGGTCGCCAGGTTGCAGTTTAATGTGCAAGGCGATGCCTTATATCTAAACAGAACAACCTCGGTAGTTCGGTACCATGAGGATCGTCGTCCTTTTCGAGGAATTGCATTTGTCATTCTGGGAATTTGCGGTGGAGTGCTGGG